GCACATGGTGTCACTCTGGCCCAGGACCTGAAGCCGCAGCAGAAGCTGAAGACTTGGCCTCTGCCTCACCAGATGGAGCTCCGGGACCCACGGAGGAATGAGTCTGGGCTCTGGCTATCCTGCAGCACAACTTGCTATTGCCCGTGGTCCTCCTGTGGGGAGAAGATGTTGCAAAGAAGATTTTCCTCATGCTTAGATGGAACTCTCTGTGTTCCTGTTTCTGTTTGTTGCCATTGTTGTGGCACTAGGCAGAGCCTGACCTTATCCTCTAGGCACCCGCCTTTTAGATATTTACAGTCATTAAAGCATAAGCTGGGCTTCCTACCTCTGAGCTGTGGTTGCCAAGGATCTGCATGCATTCCGGGCAACGGAGTGGTGGCAGACGGACCCCGTGGTAGGATCTGTTTCTGCTTTTGCTGTCTGAAGGCACAGCTTGCTTCCGCTTGCAGCCCTGCTGAGGGGAAAACGAGGTGTGGGATTCAGGTGGCTGTGTAGTCACACAGCGCTCCAGACGTGGCTTCTCCAGGACAGGGTAGAGGGGGAGGATTGCCTCCCTCAATCTGTTAGCCATTCTCTTTTTAATGCATCCTGGGAATGTGCTGGCATTCACATCCACCACAAGGGCACATTGCTGGCTCGTGGCACTGTCCACCAGGATGCCTAGATCCTTCTCCTCACAGCTTCTTTTCATCAAGTCAGTCCCTATCCTGTATTGATTTGTGCAGTTACTCCACACCAGGTGTAGGAATCTGCACTTGCCCTTGTGGAACATCCTAAGGTTTCTCTCCGCCCAGCTCTCCATCCTACAGTATTGCTGAAGGCAATGCCTTGGGAGGTTGCTGGGAGCAGTTCTCTCCTGCAGCTGCCACCTACTTGTCGACAGCTCCCAGGACTCAGGAAGAAGTTCAGCCCCTTCTCCCATGGGCTTCCTACCTGTGTAGGGGGGAATTCAGGGACCTCCAGGCGGGGTAGTGGTGGCAGACGGACGCGATGATGGGATGCATTC